GTTATTCTTACAACTGTATGAATCTACAATATTTCAATAAAAATTTCAATTAAGAAATGAATTTGAGATGCATCAGAGGCCTAAATGTTTTTTTTTTTTGAGGAAGATTGGCCCTGAGCTACCGTCTGTTGCCAATATTCCTCTTTTTGCTGAAGAAGATTGGCCCTGAGCTGACATCCATGCCCATCCTCCTCTACTTTTTGTATGTGGGATGCTGCCACAGCACAGCTTGATGAGCAGTGCGTAGGTGCGCACCTGGGATTCGGACCCACAAACCCAGGGCCACTGAAGCACAGCGTGTGAACTCAAACACCACGCCATCGGGCTGGCCCCCTAAATGTAAATGTTAACAATTTCTTGCATTATAATTTTTAAAAATAATTGCTAGTATTATAACTATTTTATAATTCCTGGAAGAAAATAAGGGGAATATCTTCATGACCTGGGGGTGGGCAAAGGTTCCTTAGGAAAAGATTTCTTAGGCAGGGCAAAAAAGACAATAAACATAGAATAAAAAGTTGATAAATTAAATTTCATCAAAATTTTAAAACTTCTAGTCATTAAAGCCATCCTGGTAGCATCAAGCTGGCAGATGGAGGCAGAGTGTGGAGGATTCCACATCTGATACTTCACCACTTGGGCCCAGAAGCAACCCTCATCACTTCCACCCAGACGGAGGGAAACTAGTCAACTGGCTCCATCTGGCTGCATGGGGTGGGGGTGGCCACTGTGGTCCTTGCCTGGGAAGGTGCCTCACAGCAATGACCCTATACAGTGAAAAGAGAGCCTGATACTTTAACAACAACAATGGCTTTCCAGTCAAGAAACTTTGAAAACATTATCTCTTTCCATAGCATTCCTAGAAGGTGGGTATTATACTCCCCATTTTAAAGATGAAGAAACCGAGGCTAAGGAAGTTGAAGGAACTTACCCAGGTAAGAAGCTCACACAGGTAGTAGGTGATAGGTCCAGGACCTCATCCAAGCCTATTAGACTCTAAAGCTCCCAGTTCTGTGAGCCCGGCTGCCTTCTTCAGAGCAAGTCACAGTAGGGACATGCTGTTACTTGTGGAAAAAGAAAACATGATGTCTGGAAGCAGAAAGGTGTCAGCCCAGACAAAGATATATGCATAGATTCTTACCATCCAACACAAAAAACTGGAAGTTATCTGGGGAAATCCATAGCCTGCTTTGGTTTGCGATTTGCTCATAAAGTGCATAGGTCCATTCCTGTTTTACAATCACATCCCAGTTCTGAGGTGTTTTCATAAAGAAAATGCTCCTGGCGTCCAATCTGGATCACAGGAAAGTTTCCCTTGAGCAAACCACCACCTTGTGGCAATGAACATGACTTGCAGGAGGAAGAATAAGTTTGTTTTTCCCATCTTTCAGACTCCAAAACACAGCGCTTACCCTTCAAGTTAGAAGTTTTTGCATTAAACAAAGCAAAACAAGCGAACAATAAAAGTCCCCCCCTTAGGGCGGGTCTAATTAAAACAGATGTCTTGGGGGGCCGGCCCCGTGGCTTAGCGGTTAAGTGCGCGCGCTCCGCTGCTGGCGGCCTGGGTTCAGATCCTGGGCGTGCACCAACGCACCCCTTCTTCGGCCATGCTGAGGCCGCGTCCCACATACAGCAACCAGAAGGATGTGCAACTATGACATACAACTATCTACTGGGGCTTTGGGGGAAAAAAAAGGAGGAGGATTGGCAATAGATGTTAGCTCAGGGCCGGTCTTC